TTTTGCATTTTCCAGGAGAGTTTCTTACAGAGAGAACGCCAAAGGCTGTGTGTGCAGTTGGAAGAAAATTTAGTTCCCTTTTCATCTCCCGTTGCAAACAGTATATAACATTCCATTTTATGAACCCACGCGGTTCACGTTTTATGTTTTTCAAGCCGCGGTAACACAGTCAACACGGCCTTCTAGTAGGTCAAAGAGTAAAAACGTTGGTTTCAGGTTTCATAGTTACGGGTTTCATCACAGGGGGTCCAACTAAGAACTGTGTTATGAATATGAATAAAACATTAATTAAACGTAATATGAATAAAACATCATAACGTAATATATTTAAATTATTGCACTTACTTGTATAAATCATAAGAGCTTGTATTTGCAGTGAATAGCTTTTAACAGGGCGCTTATACACGCTCAGAAAATCGCTCAGAAACATTTTAATTCGAACGATTGTTCAAATATGGCGAATAAATTGACAAAACGAAAATATTACATGACGTTCCAACGAAAGTAACAGCAAGGATTGCGGGCGCGAGCGGAAAGGCGAGGGAAGAAATAAATAGAAGGGATGAAACAAATATCACGTGACTTTTTAAAATGCTTCTAGACTATCCGTTTAAGCTTTTTGTGGGGTTTTTAAGGCTCAGTCGATGTTCTCTTACATGAACAAGCCTAGTCATTACCAAAAAAGCACTGATCAATCTAATTTATGTGATTTATAACAGCGAGCTTTCTTGGCCATTATCGCGAGATGTGTTCCATAAGTAGCCTGTTCTCGTGACGTATGACGAAATAATAATAAAACTAAATAATGTAAAAAAAAAACGTTGGTCGCTACATTTAAACATTTCATATTAGCCGGTATAGCTAAACATTGTTTATTTTCATTAATTAAGCGCGTAGGCGTTGTTGGAGTTGGCAGGAGGCATTTTGGAATTTTCCGAGAGAACATGCAGGCTACTTATGGAACCACTATGATGGAACACATCACACGATCGCATTACCGGTGTTTCATCCCTTCTATTAATATCTATTACCCTCGCCTTCCGCTCGCGCCCGCAATCCTTGCTGTTATTTTCGTTGGAACGTCATGTAATATTTTCGTTTTGTCAATTTATTCGCCATATTTGAACCAATCGTTCGAATCAAAATGTTTCTGAGCGATTTTCTGAGCGTATATAAGCGCCCTGTTAAAAGCTATTCACTGCAAATACAAGCTCTTATGATTTATACAAGTAAGTGCAATAATTTAAATATATTACGTTATGATGTTTTATTCATATTACGTTTAATTAATGTTTTATTCATATTCATAACACAGCTCTTAGTTGGACCCCCTGTGGTTTCATTGTATGTTTTATAAGGGTAGGTACGTCGGGAAAAATTTTTTTCTATAAATAATATTTTCTAATAAGTAATACTATGTATGGTATAAACAGACTATACAGACAAATGTGGACCAACACATAGATTCGAGTTTAAAACATTACAGTTATTGAGTTATACAGTAGCACATCAACGCAACTGCCATTGGACATGCATAATTATTAATTAAGACAAACAAAATGTTAAACAGAAACAATGTAAAAGGAAATCTTTGCAAGTACTGTATGCATGTCAATATAAACATTTATGGTCGGAGACATTTTTAACAGCTTGGTCGGAAACCAGAAACATTTTTTATTTGGCATATTAAAACCTTGCAACACTACCACACGAAATCTATATCTAGTTTTTACTTAAGTCAAATACACATCATTTCAATACTACTTACCGTATCCCAAACCTTGCAGAAACAATCTGAATGCTCCAGCCATTTTGGCTGGTTGTTCCTCCAGCGGCGTGCCACCGCAGTCAGCGACCTCCATTAAAGACGAACATTTCGGATCCAAATGAGAATTGGTCAATAACACGTCTTCAAGATGCGGAGAATAATCCCCAGCCACAAGCAAAACCTACAAACAAAAGAAACCAGAACTTTTTTCATCTGTTTTATGGCTTAGTTGTAATCCGGGCGGGATAGCCACCTCCGTATACGAGTTGCCTGCGAAGAATGGTAAAGGTGGGAATCGTAAACTTCATATAAAAATCAATGCCCAACATAATACACATGAAAATTTTTTCAGCAGTTCAGACACAAACTTCGCAGCTTAATGTAGAGGTCTAATGCCTACTCTAGATACCCAACTTTTGGTATAAACATTATGTTCAATGTACAACTACCATTTCGAACAAGGTACTTTACAGATTTTCAAGGGTGTGGCCTAATATACAACCCAGGCAAGGACATCAATCCTGAGGGAGGGGGCAAGGAGATGTATCCCCAACATAATCTATAAGAGATTGCGCCTGTTGGCATGCAGGGTCCGTCCACTACACATTTTTGAATGGGGTGTAATGGGTATATACCTCATTTTTGAACACTAAGATATATGTGGCTTACTATCGACATACTTGTTTGGGTATCCACAAAATTTGTCAATGACAACACAAACTATATTAAATGCATGGTTTTCATTAATTTTTGTCCCGACGTCTTATCCTATTATTCACAAGAAAGTACGAAAAATTTTCATCGCAAGTATATATGAACTTTATCAAGCGAACATAGATTATTTTTTAGAGTTGTATTTCTGGATACAAACATGATAAAAAGCAAACAATGTATTAAACGGACAATACAGGGGAGGGCTTATATTGGCAGTATATCAAACCTGGCACTTCAGTGAAGGCATAGTTGGTGTTTCCCCAGCCACAGGTCGTCTCATGTTGATTTCAGTTCGTTTACTGAATGACTCGACAAACAAGCCGAGATTGAACGGATTGAAGGCCGTCTCAAGGCTCTTGCGGTACGATGCCACCAAGTCCTTATTTTCCTCTGTTGATCTCTTGCCAAAATGATGCCAGACAAGATAGTCTTCGGTGAAAGGTGTCATGCCTTTACTTTTTAGTTGATGTGAAGAAATCTAAACAGAAATGAGTGGATCGTTATCAGGGAAGCAAAAGGAACCGAACCGCGGGACCATTTGGTCCCAGAATATTTTGAGTATAGGAGAGAGAAAAAATGGATGAAAAGAAAGAACGAGTGAAAAGAAAGAACGAGTGAAAAGGACAAACAAAACCAAATAGATTTGCGAGGGGGGGAATGGATGGACTTTTAAAGTGTATTATAAATGTGAGGTTAAAAATGGCTTGGAAGGAAAGGGCATGCATAAGTTTTTTAATTACACAACTTAAATAATGTATATAAAAAAAAACAAATTCGTAATAATAATTCCAATGCTGAAATTCAAGATATGAAATACAGTCGTGCCAATAGAAGCGTTCCGAAAAATGTTGACCAATTCATTTCCTAACTTGAAGGATCACCTCTGAACAATTCCTCAACAATTTGATAAGTTCCTTAAAAAGTTCCTAACTTCCTGTTTCTTTGACCAATCAAATTTTATATTTTATTTTTGAGCAATCTGATTGGTCAATGAAACAGGAAGTTAGGAACTTTTTAAGGAACTTATCAAATTGTTGAGGAATTGTTCAGAGGTGTTCCTTCAAGTTAGGAAATGAATTGGTCAACATTTTTCGGAACGCTTCCATTGGCACTACTGTAATACAAGAAGAACGTTTCAAACTGTGAATTTTCGACTTTACAGTATTTCAAAGTTCGTCATCAGACAGAATGAAACAACATACTTTACATATACAGCATATATAAAGAGCAAGAGAATACACGTCACCGAAAGGAAAGCATTACCCAAGCTTGCATGACTATTGACAATTAGTATAAACCTACTAGTAGGCTATCACATATCGTGCCTTCTGATTGGCTACGCTACTAGTAGGCTATTAGTGATAGCCTACTAATAAAAAATTCAAAATGGCGGAAAATTCGCGTTTTGCACTTTTGCCGAAGTGTCTGATGATTTTTTGGACGACTTGTTGAACAATTCTGTACTAAAAAACCCCGAAAAAAGCAACAAAAATATGGAATGGCAATTTTTAAGGGTAAAAAAATAGACAAAATAACATACACTCAATGAAATTTTAAAATTAAAACTGAATTTTGTAAAACATTTTACGCGAACAAAAACTAAAATATTTGTTTACCTTTAATGGTTTTATAATGTTTTTTGTGTATTTTTGTATTGTGTTTGCAGCCTAGTTGTAAATTAATGTTAAAGTTTATACTAAAACAATTAGACAACTCGGCCTCGTTGTCTATGAGCAAATAGTCAACTCGGCATCGCCTCGTTGACTATTCGCTCATAGACAACTCGGCCTCGTTGTCTAATTGTTAATTAGGCTAAATTAAAGTCATTTCGGACGAGCATATAGCGCCCTCTCTGTAACTAGGGGGAAGCCATGATTATGATATTTTGTTTCTATCTTATATCCTATTGCTAAAACGATCCGGCTTTTAAAAATAACAAACACACGTAATTATACGTTGCAGACGAGGTTGCAGGGATCTTGTAATGGTATAATTCATGCATCGATCTTTCCATTTTGGGCAATCCATTTTGAGCAAGCGGCTTTCACCCCTGAGATTGTGGGTTCGATCCTCACATCGGACTGATGACACTTATGTGAAAAGAGTCAGTCAACGCTCTATAACAAACGTACTTGCAGGGAGGTGCGTCCAATCCCGGACTCACCGAACCTGCAAGTACGTTTGGTTTTTATCCCATACACCGAGCCATACACACATTTGTAACTCTTCGCGATATATTCGTCGTCTCGTCGATGTTTTGTGAACATTTTCCCGGCCAAAAAAATCACTGGGCAAGAAAATACTTCTTTATCTACGTCTACATTACCTTTACTGCATTTTTTCTTTGGTTTTTCTTCAGTCTCAGTATGTTAGTCGCCGAAAAAAGTTCTTTAATTAAAGTTTAGGTTTATCGGCTAAATCTTGTCCGCCATATTTGTTATTGTTATTGCAACGTAAGCAGTTTAGCGGGTGAGTTCGGGCGAAAAGCAGGTGAGCTCGGCAAAAAGCAGGTGAGCTCGACGACAAGCTCACCTGCTCTAAACCAATCAGAAAGCCCCTTTTAACACAGGTATGGGATAATACCGAAAGACGTGGGTTTTCTCCGGGTACTCCGGTTTCCTCCCACATGGAATGTTGACAGGGTGGGTTGGGATTAGCACCCTAACTGATCCTTCCACCGTAGCTGCATGCTCCGTGATCAGACATAAGTCATCAGGTGGTTGCCAGAGACGGCCTTAGTAAACCTTCGACTAGATCAGGTTAAGTT